TTTCAGCTTGGTCTCATCTTGTTTATCTTTGCTTTATAGATGTGCTTTGTGTTCATCTCACATACAAAACAAGCGAACAAACAAAATACCACCTTTGTCCCACCAGTGTCAGGGAGCTGTTTTCCGCATCGTGTACCCTGTCCACAATGTAGCCAAGGTTGATGCTGAATTTCTGATCCTCCTGCTTCTGCCTCCCAAGTGCTGGGATTTTAGGGGTGTGCCACGCGACCACATTCACACTTGATCTGCAGATCAAGCCCAGCCACATTCACACTTGATCTGCAGATCAAGCCCAGAGCTGCAGGCAAATATTCTACCAACTAAGCCACATTGCCCAGTTCATAAATTGCACCTGAAAATTCTGATTTCGGATTATTTGTTGCTAATGCATAGAAAAACGATAAGATTTGGGAATGTTCATTTTGTATCCTACAACAAGAAAATTTGCTGTGAGAATTCTCTATGTAAATGAACAAGTTATGTGTGAATAGACAGTGTACTTCACTTAAGTCAAAAATGCTGCCATGTCATCGCTACAATAGCTACAATAAAAGTGACGGTCACAGGGCTGGAACACAGCCCCACGGTGCAGGCTTCACCCAGCATGCAGGAGACCATGTGTCAGAGATCCAGCAACAAAACCCAAAAATGATAATGTCACTTTGGAAAACAACTTGGCAGCTTCTTTAAAACAGCAACCACCACCAAAATAAATAAAACAAAGCTTTATGACAGCAGGATTCATAAAGCCTAAACTAGAAGTAAGATAAATGTCCACCAGCCTGTGTATGCTGTATCAGCATCTGACAGAATGAAGGGCCAATGCATGTCCCGATGAAGCTGACTCCGGGAACTCTGTACAAAGCTGGAGAAAGCCATATGTAAGGCTGCTCACTGTATGATTTCATTTATAAGAAATTTCTCGAAAAGGCCTATCCATAAACACAAAGCAAGTTAGTTATTGACTGCCTGGAGCTTAGGGATGAGTCCAGAGAGAAATAGAAAACACTGATTTCTATAATTGTCTCATTATTTTAAATGTCCCATTTGTAACAAAAATTTAGGAGCAAAAAAAAAAAGCTCAGGAAACAGTACTCCGTAACTCAGTAGATAGGTTCCCAGCAAGCCAACGCTGTACTTTCTGAACAGCCTTTAAGTCAGCTTATTTATTCCTTTTGTTAGCGTATAGCGCAGGTGTAGAACAGTGGGTGTCAGGACATTCTTTTGTTTTCTGAGACAGGGTCTTACTTTGACGAGCTGGCTGTCCTGAAATTCACTACAAGGACCAGGTGGAGGTCTGCCTGCTGCTGCCTCCCAAACATGGGAGCTGAAGGTGAGAATCGCCACGTGTGGCCCGTGACACTGTGTTAAAATGGCGTTCCTTTATTTAGTGTGTGTGTGTGTGTGTGTGTGTGTGTGTGTGTGAGAGAGAGAGAGAGAGAGAGAGAGAGAGAGAGAGGAGAGGAGAGGACAGCAGAGTCATGTGCAGCAAGCATAGCTAGCCACTGAGACTTTTCTTTCTTTTTTTTTCCTTCAAGACAGGGTTTCTCTGTGTAACTGTGGCTGTCCTGGAACTCACTCGGTAGACCAGGCTGCCTTTGAACTCACAGAGTTCCACCTGTCTCTGCCTCCAGAGTGCTGAGATTAAAGGCGTGTGCCACCACCTCCCGGCTGACTTTTCTTTTAAAATGTTTATACACTTTATTTTGTGTGCGTGTGTGTGCATGCTGGAAAAAAAACAAAAACAAAAAACCTCCCATCCAGGGTAACTGTACGATCACGTCTGCTTCCTAGTCCCTAAAGCTGACTTCATTAATGCCACTCTGTGAGGTGCCCGCTCAGGTTGACTTCCACCTTACAGTGGCAGCCTGTGCACATGTCACTTGTCTAATGAATTCCTAGCTGCATTTCAAAACCAGATACGTTAGCTGTACCTCATCTTCAGACTCCTAGTTTGGCTCACACTCCATGCTGGCACAATTCATTACAGTTTCCTGGTACCTGGAGTGTGTGTGTGTGGGGGGGGAATCACCTTCCATCTAATGGCCTATTTGGTAGTAAAGTGAGTGAGGTGAGGTTTGTCATTTTACAGACAAGAAAGGGAAGCTTAAGGAGACTGAATCTTGCCAAGCATTGTGGGACACATCTTTAGTCCTTACACTCTGGAGGCAGAGGCAGGCAGATCTCTGTGAGTTTGAGGCCGGCCTGGTCTACAGAGTCAGTTCTCAGGCAGTCAGAACTATGTGAGAGACCCTGCCTCAAAGTAAACAAGCAAAACAAAGAATGTTACATCTCCAGGATGTCAGCTCTAGACCCACAAATCGTGTGAGTTTTCAGAGATAACTTGTGGTGAAAACAGTGATTTCAGAGACTGTACATGCCGCTTCATTCTGGGACAGGGTCTCATCATGCAGCCCTGGCTGGCCTGCCTTGGCCTGCTAAGTGCAAATGTGCATCTTAGGCCCAGCTCTCCGTGCTCCTGACGACCTCGTAACTGCCTCCTGTTGGATCTCGCTGGCAAGGGCATTACTACACTAATTCCAACTGCTATCAAAATAGTTTTCAAAGCCATGAAGTATGAGGCATTATTAGGAAGCCAAAGCAGGAGAAGCTATCTGAGAAACCCTGGGGTATCCAGTTGTACTGTTGTCAACTACTTAACAAAATGATCTCTGAAACGCAACCCAGTGGCTCACACTATGATTCTAGTACTCTGAAGGCTCCAGCAGAAGGATCTGGAACTTGAGACACATGCTGTGTTTGGGGTTAGCCTGGGATACCTACTAAGAACCTTGTCTCAAAAACAAACAAACAAACAAAAAAACATAATAAAGTAAAACAAGCCTAATGGTGGTAGCGATCAGCTTTAACCCCAGCAGGAGGCAGAGGCAGGTGGATTTCTGAGTTTGTGGCCAGCTTGGCCAGGACTTGTTCCAGGACAGCCAGGGCTACACAGAGAAATCCTGTCTCAAAAATCCAATAAATAAATAAATAGTAAAATAAAACAGTTTTTAAAGATTTTACTACTTTTTCCTAGAAATGTAATTTATCGCTATTTCCTGACTGTATGTACTTTTCCAGAAAGTACAGCCATCTGAAAAAATAAAGTGTCACAAAAAAACTGAGCTAGACTGGGCTTGGTGGCACACGCCTTTAATCCCCGCATCCCGGCATCAAAGCAGGAAGGACTCCATGAATTAAAGGCCAGCCTGCTCTACACAGCAGGTTTCAGGACAGCCAGGACTAGACAGAGACATCACGTCTCAAAAAACTGCTGAGGTATGTTACTACTTAAATACTACTGATGTCAGAACTAGAAATCAGAACAGTTAGGCCTTTTTCTCCAGTTTTTTTACAGGCTGAGTGATGGGACACTTTGCTCTACCTTCTTCCCACTGACCTGCCATTCCCTGGCCAAACATCCACCTCCTGACCCCAAACTTCCCTTCATTTAAGGGAGCCTCCATGAAAGCACAGCTCTGATTTGCAAACTTTTCATGCATTTTCTCAGAGATGGTCCTCCGTTTACTGGTGATTCCTTTAAACCAAATCACTGATGCTACTTTCAGCATCTGCCTTTGGTTAGATACGAAGGATCCCCTGCAAAAAGGCTCACTGAAGGGTCTATCTCCGCTGCTGCTCCTGTCGGGGGTGGCCCAGAGATCTGTAGGCAACTGTCCAGCTGGAGGAAGTGGGGCACTGGGGCATGTCCTTAGGGGAATATACCTTGTCTGGGACCCTTTCTCTTTTTGGTCCCTTTTCTACCACGAGACTAGCCCACTGCCCTGTGCTCCTGCAGCCGTGATGCTCGAAGAGAATTATGGGCTGAAACCTCTAAAATCGTGAGGCAACACAAATAATCCCTCCCTTTAAGTTATCCTCACAGTAGTTTGGTCGCAGCTTATGGGAAACCGGTGGCGCCTCGGACTCAATCTACCTTATAGTTACAGTTACTTAGTACTCGATAAATGCTTTTGGGTTCTGCAAATAAACTGAAAGGCAAGACCCCCCCCCCTTCCTGTTTTCAGGATGTCTGTTAGTGTGCAGAGAAAATGTTAACAGCCTTCATAAAATCAGAACTATTCAAATGGCACTTGCGAGGCATACTGGCCCAGCCGGGCTCGTTCTGAGGCACTTACATTATTATTGTGCAGGTAGTCGATGGCGCGAAGGATCTGGAACAGGTACTTTCTCAGTCGCTTACTCTCTAGTCCGTGACAGTAATGCTGTAATTCATCTAAGACTGTGTGGTCAATAAACTCAAACACCAAATGAATTTTCTTTTTTTGTTTAAAAACATCAATCAGATTGACCAGGTTTTCGTGCCGAAATTGCTATTGACAAAAAGAAACAAGAGTTGTATGTAAAACTATTGCAAACAGTAATTCATGCAGACACCTATAAATTTTTTGAAAAGAAACGAAAACAGCTTCCTTCAGTTTTTGTGGAAAGATCTCAACTGATCTGGCATGTTCTCAATGTGTCAGCGTTACCGTTAAGTGATTTCTTGCTCTCTGTGGAAAAAGGTGAGACATGTTGCCATCTGATGGCTAATTAAAATAATTTAGACCTAATGTACCACAAAGCAATGAGAAATGTTTTGCTATATTTTAATTTGGTTTATACTTAACACATGAAATTTAAAAGGACTTTATGGCGGGGGGGATGGTGGCATGGGCCTTTACTCCTGGTAATTGGGAGGCAGAGGCAGGCCAATCTCTGTGAGTTCAATGCCAGCCTGGTCTACATAGGGAGTTCCAGGGACCCAGTCTCAAACAAACACACACACACACACACACACACACACAAACCAACTAAAATAAAATGGGCCCTGTTTCATGTTGCTTATTTTTGTAGTTGTTCTTATTTTGACTTTTAGAGACAAGTGTATTCCAGGCTACCTAGAACTCAACACCTTTCTATTTCAGCCTCTGGAAGGCCAAGTGCTGGGATTACAGATATAAGACACCACATTCAAACTGCAGTTGCTTTGTTTTCTGGAAACAGAACTTGGGATCACCTCATTATATTTAGCCTCTAAGGTCCTTGTGTTTTCAAATGAGCATGGACTTTTCCATTCTTCAGTCTGTGTGAGAGTGTTGGTCTGCATGTATACATGTGATTCATGTGCTTGCCTTGTCCCCACAGACACCAGCAGAGGGTGATGTCGCACCCCTGCAACTGGAGTTAAGGACGGTTGTGAACCACCACACCGGTGCTGGGAACCGAACCCAGGTCCTCTGCAAGAACAAGTGCTCTTAACCACTGAGCATCTCTCCAGTTCAAGCACAGACTTCAACATCATTAAGATGTGCTATAAATTTATACAACTTATTCCCTAGTTTTGGTCTTAAACTCTATATAGAATAAATCATAAGTTATAGAGGTCATTTATGAGTCCACTTGATGATCAAGAATATCAAAATGTTTAAGAAACCCTCAAACATGTGAAGTAATTTATAACCCTAGAAATGATATAAATATGCAAATATTTATGGTACTTTTATTCACTGTCTACTGTATAATTCTACTAAACAACAAAATACCCTTTTTCTCGGCTACTCGGGAAGCTGAAACAGGAAGATGAGTCTGAGGCCAGCCTAGGCAACACAATGAGACCCTCATTTCATATAAACAAAAATTAAATAAGCAATTTTCAAAACAAAAAATATTTTTGTACCGGTATCAACCATGGTCAAAAAAAATTTTAAGGAGCTGGAAAGATGGCTAATCACAGACAAGCCAGGTGCGGCAGTGGGCACCTGTACCTAGCACCGAGTGAGGTAGAGATGGGTGGACGGAGAGGGCGGCTCACTGCTCAGCCAGTCTGCTTAGTCATTGGGCTCCAGAGTCAGTGAGAGACCCTGGGTCAAAAACACAAGGTAGAGGGCCAGGAATCAGACGCCTGACCTCTGACCTCCAGGGACACATGCACGCCTAAACATACACATATACACTCCACACAAACACACACAAAATAAATGCTATTAAATATTTAAAAAGAATTTTAAAATGACAGAAAATTACTGTGTGTCAGCACAGGAAACAAATGAAGCTTAATATTTTATGTACCTTTTGTTTTTAAACCAATGATCCCCACTGCAATCAATTCTAAAATATTTAACCATTTTTAAATTAATGAAAATATTTATTAATTTGGATAAAAATGTATCTATTTTTAGTATTAGATTCACTAGCAAACTATAATATTTGTTGTTGTTGTTTTAGAGACAGGGTTTCCCTGTGTAATAGCCCTGGCTGTCCTGGACTCGCTTTGTAGAAAAGGCTGGCCTCGAACTCACTCACAGAAATCTACCTGCCTCTTCCTCCCTAGTGCTGGGATTAAAAAAGTGCACCACCACACCTGGCACAAACTATAATTTTTTAAGTTGCTCTTATTCTAGTTTTCTACTTCCCTGTGACAGAGACCAAAGTCCTTGAAACATGACTAGTAGAAAACTGTGCCAAAATACAATGCCAGATCCCTTCATCTTTGCTCTCAGTTTTGCTGTTTAGCAAAAAGCCCCAGTGCGGTGCTGAGGCAATGAAACACTGGCAACAGTGAAGAGACAGTGAGGGCTGCCGTGCTCTAGAACACCACATGAGTGGCCCGCCTAGGAAAACTGCTGGCTTTCCGTCCAGTCTTTGTTTTATTTTATATTTTATAGGTATATTTATTTTATGTGTGTGGAACTGGAGTTTAAGATGATTGTGAGCCACCATATGGGTGCTGGAAATCAAACCCAGCTTTTCTGCAAGATCAAGTGCTTTTAACAGCTGAGCCATCTCGCCAGCCCTCAGTCTATTTTACAGCAGTGGAGGCAGTGAGAAAGCAGTCAGAACAGCAGGAAGCCAGGTGGTGGCGCACACCTTCGATCCCAGCACCTGGGAGGCAGAGGCAGGTGAATGTTTGGGTTGGAGGCCAGCCTGGTCTACAGTGAGTTGCAGCATGGCAAGGATACCCAGGGAAACAGTAGGAAAGTTAATTTTATTTATTTATTTTAAGATTTACTTATTTGTGCCTGCAGGCCAGAAGAGGGCACCAGATCTCATCACTATAGATAGTTATGAGCCACCATGTGGTTGCTGGGAATTGAACTCAGGACCTCAGGAAGAGCAGCCAGTGCTCTTATCTCCCCAGCCCCAAGGGAAGTTAACTTTGAATGTATTTAATTATATTTTTTTTTCTATTACCAGACATGTCCATAGATATTCTAACTGCTCTATCAGTAATTTAATCAGATTCTAAAATGTAGTTAAAATTGAGTTATTTGGACAATCATTTTAGGTTAAGAATATTAACAAATACAAGGAATCTCTTATTAGATTATGTTAAATTGAAAAGTAGGGTGTGGTGGCACCTGCCTGTAATCCCAGGGCTCCAGGATCGGAGGCAGAAGAAGGAAGAGTTAGAAGCCAGCCTGGCCTACACAGAGTCCCAGGCTAGTCTGGACTACGAAGTAAAATTTTGTGTAGAAAGAAGGAAGGGGATGCCTGGAGAGATGAAGCAGTGATTAAGAGCACTGGCTGCTCTTCCAGAGGACTCTCAGATTTATTCACTATGTTATGTATATGAGTTTACTTTCATGTATATCCATACACCAGATGCATGCTTGATGTCCAGGGAAGTCAGAAGAGAAAATCAGATCCCACTCTAGGAACTGAACCCAGGTCCTCTGGAAAAGACATAAATGATCTTAACTGTGAGTCAACTCTCCAGCCCCCAGGGTTCTGGTCACTGAACCCACAGGCTCACAGTCATCTGGAAATCCATTTTCAGGGACTATGACACCCTCTTCTGGCCTCTTTGGGCACTGCATAAACACAGCACAAAGTCGTACATGCAGGCAAAACACCCATACACATAATGCAAAACTTTTTTAAGTCTAAAAAGGTTTTAAAGAAAGGCAGGGAGGGAAAGCAACTGGGCCAGCCCACAGGAAGTGAGAGTAGTTGAAAGTATCTTGCTAATGGCATCACATACCTATTAAAGGCATTCATTAGGCAGAGGTAGGCAGATCTCTCTCTGTAAGTTAGAGGTTGGTCTGTCCTATACACAAGTTCCAGGGCACCTAGCACTACATAGTGAGACCTGTCTTTAAAAACAAAACAAAAAAAAAAAAATGTTTTCATCTTCGTTTTCTTGTCACTATTGGTTACTTTTAAAAAAATTAAACAGGGGCTGAAGCTAGTGTAGAGTTGGTAGAGTACTGTCTAGCATGCATGAAACGCTGGGTTTGATCCCTGGCACCACATAAAACTGGGTGTGTGGATGGCTCAGAGGGTAAAGGCACTTGCTGTCAAGCCTGACGGGAGTTCAGTCCTTGAGAGCCTTCCAATTTCTGCAAGTTACCCTGTGTCCTCTACATGTGTGCTGTTGCTGTGTGTGTGTGCGTGCGTGTGCGCACACACACACACAGACACACACAGTGGTAAAATGGAATTTAAAAATGTAACGGAAACAAGCATGGTGTTGCATGCAACCTCAGCACTGGGGAGGGGTGGAGGCAGGGTGCTCAGATGTTCAAAGCCATTACCTCCTAATTTGATTTCTCATCTAAGGAGCACAAATTGCCTGACAGTGTTTCATTTCATCGGGCAGGGACTGGTGTCTCTCAAAGTACAAAATCATAGTATCTTTACTAACCTTTAATTTCCCTTCACACAGTCTAGAAAGAGAGCAGCTCTGACTGTCCACAGGTGCTAGCATGGTATTCTATTTAGAACCAAACCAGATTCATATTACCTAACACAGATAAAAAGAAAACAAAATATTTTGTACCAGATAAAGATGGGCAAGAATAGCTGTACTCTTCACCACATGAGACACCTAGACTCCACTCTCAAGGCAAGAAACCTCAGTGCACCTAGATAGAGTAAATAGAGCATTTGTATTTGGAGGCTTCTTTTTCAGCTTCAGTCTCTAGTTTTGGTCCCGGACTCCAAGGAGTGTTCACTCACTTCTCACCTCCTCAGTTCTTTGCCCAAGTAGACCTAGCACACCTGCAGGGTCCTGATCTCTCCTGATGCTGCTGCTATTTTAGAAGCCTAATAACCTCTAGTTAATATTCCTGTCACCTCCAAGTGACCAAAGTCATCTAAAACCGGGCTGGTTCTCAGCTTCCCATCCAGCTGCGGCATTCTCTGACTCCTGTCTATGCTTCTACACTCTCCCACGTCTCCTGCAATACAGCATTTTAACTCTACATCCATTCACACTGCTGAAATCTAAAAAAGGCCTCATGGTGTTAGCCCAATTTCCGAATTAAATGCTCATCAGACCCCCTTAGTTCTCAGTCTTCTAACGCATTCTACAGACCACTGCTAGATTAATACTTAACAGGGAATTTTTTACAATTAACTCAAATCTTGACTTTCCATCTCTCTTTTGTTTGTTTTTGTTTTTAAGAGACAGGGTTTCTGTATAGCCTTGGTCACTTTCCAGCTCTTAAGAAAATCAGGGTTGTGTTATTGAGATGGTGTCATGTATCCCAAGCTGGCTCGGAACTCAACACGTAGCAAAGGATGGTGATAGGACTGCATACACTAAATTTTATGTGGTGCTGGGGATCAAACCCAGGGCTTCAGGCATGCTTGCCAAGCACCCTAACTCTGCTTATAAAGTCTACTTCCAATTTACTGCACTAGTCACAGCTCTAATTCTATACAAGAAACCCACAGACAAGTATCTGATCTTTTCCTTTCTACTCTTGCTCTGTCCTGTTTTAGCCTTTCTGAGCTTAATGCTGCTCCTTTAATCTGGAGATAATCATTATTATCTCCATCCTACCCAAATGCTACACATCACTCAAGAACAAGTACATATCCTGTTTTCTATAAGCATCTTCGGAATTTAATATTGACCACTATGAAAACAAGCAAAAACCCCGTGTGGGTATGTGATTATGTGCACAAGCCTGCAGGTGCCCCTGAAAGCCAGAAGTGGGTGTGGGATGCCTGGGAGCTAGAGCTGCAGGCAGCTGTGAGCCTCCTGATATGGGGTGGAACTGATTCTGGTCCTCTACAAGGGCAGTAAGTGCTCTCAGCCACAGAGCCACCCGGCCCTCTGAACCACTGGCCCAGACGAGCCACTCCTGCCTGGTTATGTCATTAAGGAACATTTTTTTTTTTCCCTAGACAGGGTTTCTCCATATAACAGTCCTGACTCCCTCTGTAAACCAGGCTGGCCTTAAACTCATGGTGATTCCACCTGCCTCTGCTTCCCAAGTGTGCCAGCATGCTGGGCAAGGAACACTTTTTTACTTCTTTTTTTCCTGATTTACTATTTATACAGTGTTCTGTCTGCATGTATGCTTGCACGCTAGATGAGGGCACCAGATCTCACTATAGATGGTGGTGAGCCACCATGTGGTTGCTGGGAATTGAACTCAGGACCCCTGGAAGCTCAGCCGGTGCTCTTAACCTTTAAGCCATCTCTCCAGCCTCCTTTTCACTCCTTTCTAATCTTACCTTCTTCCACAATCCCTTGTACAAAGCAGATACCTTTATTGTTATACCTGAATAGTTTCGAATGATTTCACAATATTAGCATAATTATATCAAAGAATAAATCTTTGATAATCTTACATCATTAATTCTTTTATCAAAGCACACAAATCTGGTATCACTAAAAAAGTACAGACAATGAGGGCGTCTCTATGACAGGTCTTAGTTTATCTGTTAATGGAAATATTCTTTCATACACTTAATTTTTACTCCATAACAATTTCTCTTTTGACTTAACATCATCAAGGCAAAAGACGATGGGTGTTGTAATACAGATCTGTAAATCTCAGCACTGAAAGAAATAAGAGTTCCATGCTAGACTGGGCATCACAGCAAGATGGGTCTCAATGGGAAAAAATATAAAAAATATATGTATGTATAATAAAAGGCAAAAGAAGCAAACCTTTAGAAACTTTATTTCTCTCATTGCAATTTTGTTGACAGATTTTTCTGGTTTCTCATAGAATATCTTAATGGCCACTATCCGCCCAGTATCCTTATGTTTGCATTTCATGACCGTTCCGTAACTTCCCTCTCCCACTTTTCCAAGGGTTTCATACATCTCCATTTTGAAGCCTGGCTTCTACTTCACAGAAATAAAGAAAGAAAATGTTAAACGTTCACGCTTTCGATCATTCAGGCTGGATAATGCATAGCGTCGATAACCCGATACTTTTGGACATAAGAACAAAAACTAGGAGTGCTGTCTACAGCAGAGCAGAGCTTGTTCGTGGGAACTCTTAGGTTGTCTGAGACGCTCCAACGTCTCCAGGTTTCACCAGGACAGGATGCCCTGCATTAATCTAGCATTTTGTGTAGACTGAGAGGTTAAAAGGGAAGTCTGATATGCCTTCAGCTCAGGAATCCTTTTGGAATACGGGATTTGGAAATTTAGATTTCAGAAACCAGCAACGACAATGAAAGCCAAGATTTTAAACAGTCCCTCCACCAAACACTGCGGGTGCCTCGTTACAGGACACGGTGCACCGAGCGTGGGGACCCGCCCCTGCAGTCCCACCCTCTCCCCAGACCCGCAGTGAGCAGCCCCCACCCGAGCCGAGCGTCCCGCCGTGCTGTCGACCTCGTCCTGAGAGCCGCCGCCGCCTCAGCCCATCCTGCAGTCCCGCCGGCCCGGCTCCGTGAGGTCCCAGCCGGCCACGGGACAGCGCGCCTCCGCCCTGGCTGACCTGGCCGGCTCCCGGCAAGCCAGCCGCGTGCCCTAGCAACAGCGCGGGGGCGGGGCCGGCCGCGTTCGGACCACAGTACGCAAGACTGGAAATGGCTGGGGTCCCGACCCGGAAGGGAAAGGGACAAGAAGCGGAAGCTAGGTGCGGCGGGAACGAGGACGCAGCAGGCCCCGCGTGCTTGCAGGGGGTGGTGGTGGGAGGGGCGTTTTCCTTGCTCCTTGAACGCCCTCGAGGGCGCGTCCGGCCGGGAAGAGAGCGTTTTGTGGCCTGGTTGACTGCTGGTCACTTGCTTGTGTTCGGCCCCCAAGAGGCTGACTGTCACAAGCCTAAGGAAGGCTTGTGTGGTGGCTCCAGCGCTACATTAATATTCCACACAGCCGATACATTAATATTCCACACAGCCGATACCGACCTCAAAGTCGACACTGATCCTTACACTGGAGACAAAGTGGCTCGTGGGCAGAGGTTATAGCTCAGGGGTAGGCTCAGCATCCACCACTCCCCTGGCTTCTAGCACCAATTTCTGTACACGATCTCGGTATTCCTTCGTGATTTTCCAACCACTAGTAATTTTTTGTTTGAGACAAGGTCTACTTTGTAGCTCTGGTTGTCCTGGGACCCACCATGTAGACTAGGCTGGCACTCCCAAGAGATCTTGCCGCCTGCTTAGAGCGCTGTGTTTAAAGGTGTGCGCCACCATGTACAGCCATAGCAGTTTTAAAAGTGTTCTCGCTACATGTGAAACGCAAAACTTTTTAACCCCCCCCACCACCACCACCGGACACCTCAGAATGTACATTTAAATATCGTGCAGAGCTTTTCAAAGGCCTCCACTTCCAGAGACCCGGATTTAACTGTGGTAGCAAAACGAGGTCAACGAGATGGCTCAGTAGAAAAAGGCTACAAAGCCTTAAGACTTTGAGTTCAATCTCTTGGGCCTACACAGTGGAAAGCGAGAGGCAGCTCCACCAAGTTGTCCTCTGACCGATACACACAAATGACTGTGCACAAGTGTGCTCAGTAGTGTAAAAAAAGAGAAACTAGTTTGCTTTAAAAAAGAAAAAAAAAGTTTTTAAGTGTCTCAAATTTGACTACTCTGCTGGAGCATGAGAGGAAGAAGGGGTAGGTACTTGGTTTGGGCTTTTGTCTCTAAATGTCATGGCTAAGTCTTACACTGCTGTACATTTAATTAATATTTGTTATGGACTAAATATTTGCAAGGAGCAAAGCATGAATCAGACTGAGTCCCTACCATCATTTAATTCACCAATCCCAGCAATCAGGAGCCACGTGAGATTGAGGCCAGTCTACATAGTAAGTTCCAGGCCAGCTACACATAACCTGTTTTTTTTTTAAATTACAGTTCGAAGATGGCCGTTGTAGGTTTTCCACAAGCCTCCTGACCATGAAATTGTAAGCACGTTCAATTTGTCAAAAACATTTCATTGTGGAGAAGTCAAAACTATCCCGTCCATTTTTGAAAAGTTACAAATTGCTACAGATAAGCGACAGAATGAGAGTTTAAAAAAAAAATACAGACTTTCTTTAGCATTTCACAGCATTTAATCGCATGTTTGTCTTCTTAACTAACCATGTGAAAGATTAGGATCCGTATGACCAATAGGGGGAAAAGGCAGGGCAAGGCACTTGTTACCTATTCCAGCTACTCAAAGAGGAGTCGAAGCCAGCCAGGGAATTTAAATAGACTGTTTTGTCCAGAGACACGGTGTCTCCGTGTGACTCAAGATAACGTGGACTTGCACCCACCTAGTGCTGGGTTGCAGTTGTGCAAAACATCCCTCTCAGTAAAATCTTACAGGGCTAAGTAAGGCCCTGGGGTTCTAGGGCATACTTCAAAAAGGAGGGGGGGAAAAGGTAAGAACATTTAACTTTTAGTCACATAGTGAGCAAGCAGCGTCGCCTACCTAACAATCCCCAAGCTTCCTTTTTTTTTTTTTTTTATGGGGGGAGGGGGAAGACCCTCAGGCTGCCCAGGGTGGTGAGGCTAGCCTTACACTCCGGATCCTTTCCACTTTCTGAATGGTGGAATTAGCAGAATGCACAAAGACATCGGGCTCTCCAGATGATTTTAAGTCAAGAGAATTCAGTTTGTAGAAAGGACAGATAAGAGAAGTAGGAAACGTTAGCCCTTCCTGGTTTCATGGCAGTGGATTTCCACGTCCTTCCCCCTTCTAGAGCTGAAGAACTCCACATGTACTGAACTGTTCGGTCCCTCGGACTAACAAATCCTCACAACAGGAGCTTGAAGCTGAGGCTAGCTGGAATTCTGTGACTTCGAAAAGGAGCCTGTAGGGCCAACGCTTCTGAACCTGCTGCGCATCACCCTCTCACACACACACACACAACCGGGCACTTCCGGTCCATCTGGACCTTCGCTGCGATTGCACAAAGCTTTAATGAGTTATCTTAGACGCGAGATGTAACTCCTACCACCCATGTCTGCACGATCTCTCCCCCGAGCTGAGTCATTTTTGTAGGTTTCTCTGACAACCAGCAGCCCGTTGATATGCTCTCAAATCACACCCCCACATTTCTTGAGAAATACAGCTATGCCCTACCGCAGGCAAACTCACATATTCCAATTTTCTTAGCTCTATGCGGTCTGCAAGGCTTGGGCAACCTACTCCACTCTCTTAAGTATGGAAACCCTATTAGCAGGTACAGGCTATTGGCCCAAACGCCCTCGGGCCCACCTCATTTGCTCCCGCCTCAGAAGTCAAAACTGTTTATTATAACGCTACGCGACCCTTTCAGTACCTGCGCCACGCACCACCGTGGCTAAGCCACCTGAAACCACCGGATAAATTAAGTCCAGATTTTTCTGGTTCCGTTTTACAGACTTAGGACGCAAAGCGGCCCCCTCCACACGTCTCCTCAGGCAGGGTCCCTACACTTGGGAGCGAAAGCACAACGTCCAACCAGAGGTGTCAACCCTTGAAGCCCCACGACCTGCTCCGTGAGATCCGACGCCGGGAGCCAGGCGCCGCCGTCACGTGACCTCCGCTCGCGGCGTCACAGGGACACGTGGTTCTAGATACTTCGCTCCCTCCCCCTCGGGGGTGGATTGTTGACAACGCCGCCGGCGGTCATGTGACCTGACGTCAGTCCCCCACCACCACCACCACCACCTCCTCTCTCCCGAAATCTCAGGCTCCGGATGCGCCCGTCTCCGCCCGTGCGGCCGAACCCGAAACCAGCGACAGGGGGAGAGAGGCAAGGTAGCGTGCGGGCCCCGGCGTCCCGGGGCGCGCCGCGGCCGCGGGCCCGCGGCCCGGAAGGCGGCCTC